CTTTGGAAGAAAAACGCGATGATGATTTGAGACCAAATCAAAACATCAATTCCGACTCATTCATTCGAAATACAAATACGTCTACTCGACATCATTTTTATGGATTTGAAATTCCAAAAGACTTTGATATGGTTCATTTTAATTAGACAACCATTTTTGGTTCAACATTTTTATTTAAAAATTATAAGTATAGCTCTATCAAAATAAATCTCATTGATCGGAAAACGGAAAAGACTACACCTTGCGAACGTCATTCGCCGTGAAAAGTTAATAGTATACTTCAATATATTGAAGATTGTGACCAAAAATAAAGAAGCTCAAAAATTTTATTTTAACATTTTGTATCTTCACGAAAATTATTTCAGTACGGTGCTATTTACAAATCATTTTTAAAACGTAAATTTAAATAAGTACAAAACACTTCTCACGAAGTTCCCACTGTGACGCAATACTGTAAATCTGGAAATGTTTTGATATAAATTTTCAGTGACGCGTTCGTTCATATACATACAAAATGTTAATATTGCGTCGCCTCTTTCACCGCAAAAAATATAAACATGAACAAAAAAATATATGAAAATAATCGTCCCGTAAGACTCTTTATTTTATAATTAACATATGTATGTGCAATTGTGCATTGTACAACAAAAAATCCAAACAAAATTCACTTAGCGAATACAAATTAATTTATTACAATTCGGAAAAATCAGCATATATTCTTCCAAGCTCATCTGTTATAGCTTTCATCTCATCGTCGGTTCTTAATCCTTGTTGATATCGAACAAAATGCCTTGCAAAATCAGGTAGATTCAAGCGGCATAAATGATTCCGAATTCTGGCGAATTGTGGAGGAAAAAGTCTGCGACATTCTCTACATATGAGTTCTTCCAAAGTGCGGTTCGCACAAGGGGGAAACCACGAATTCTCATAGCACATATTTGTGCTAATTTTTTCTAATATTTCTAGTAAAACGCCATATAACATGCACATTTGACATCTTTCTAATATGTTCTAGTTTTTCTAGTATCGAGTTCGTGGGTAACCCCAAGGGTTTGCAACAGCTCTGTAAAATAAATTTTATGTGGAAGCTATTAATTTTGTACATAGATTAAGAATGTTAAATTCATACGCTTCGTTATTGATGGTCTCAATAACCGGTTCATATACCGATTTCGTTTGAGGTATCGTTGGAAAGGTCTCTAGAATCAGAAAATCGATGTTTCAGGGGTCGGCGACAACATTTAGCGCCATCTATGGCCGTGGAACTGATTTTTTACCCTTTTTTTGAAACGGTCATATTTTGAAGACCGATTTTCAAAGTTTGATGTTTTTTCTTAATCTATGGCCCAAGAGCTTTCCAACCATACATCAATCGCGGCGAACGGCCTTCCAAGTTGGGATTTGGAAATTACGTGTATATATAGCGAGTCGACTTTTCAACACACAAAGTGGTTTCGTCACTCGTGCGAACTGCCGTTCGCTGTGATTTTGTGTTTTGTTGGAAAATAGAATACTTTTCTATCGAACAAATATTATTTTGAACTGGCTTAATTAAATATGCATCTACTCCTGTAAGACTCTTTATGTACTTTATAACTTTTCATTTTATTCAAAAATATGTAAAAAGTCAATCAAATCTTGAAAAATTCCAGACAAAAACTCAAAGATTTAATTTAAAATTGATTAACGATCCATGGTTTGACACGATCATACACATCGTTCAACATGTTCATTGCATCTTTTCTTGGGTTATTAATTGATTTTAAACCATCATTCGTTAGCTCCGTGCAAGTAACCGACTTGTTATAATTCAGTTCAGATCTTTTTGTTTGACTAAAAACAGATAAAACACATTGGTTATTATTATTTAAAGGAACAATAAAAAAAAATCAACATTCGTACCCTGATTTGGCAAAATCCATAAAATATTTTGGCACAAACCGCATTGCTGCTTTGGTTTGTATATTTCGATGATCATTTGGATTTTTTTCAATATTTTCGTACAATTTTTGATACGCGTAAGAACTAAAATATTTTTAATTAAAAAAAAATATATAAAAAAATGTATAAAAAAAATTCAGTTTAATTTTACTCACTGAAACAAGTACGGCATCTCCTCCATATGACCAAGTCCTTGAACCATTTGAAGACCTCTTTCTATTTTGGCGAAATTCAAGTTTAAGTCGAAATTTGAACTAGAGGAGTTCGAAAGAGTTTTCGTTAGATATTGTTCGAAATTCATTTGCAAATAAAATGTGGTCCTTTGATAAAAAATATATAATTTTACACACTTACTAGTAGCAAGCCGTCTTTGTGCTCTTATGTAGTTCCATTGAGTCATAGAACGGATATAAGAAGACCATATCAGATAGCATTTGTACGTATTGATTCAAATTGTACGTATTCTTTTGAATTTCCTCTTTGCCAAAATAGAACTCATAGATTACTTGCTGCATCTCTTTATATATCTTTAAGATTGACGTTTAGCTGTCAAAGCGAAAACCGACTATTGTTTTAGCTCTGT